TGGACATACACTTCGAAGGGGCCCGAGTCTGTGTTCGAATACAAGTTCCTCGGCGGAGGATCTGTAGGATCCGGGGGATCCTTGACCCCCAACTCCATGTGGGTTGGAGGTTAAGTTAACCTCTATTTGTTTGTGTCACAAAAATATGTTTATATACAATTATTTACTAAAAATATAAGGAAGAGAAAGGTTGAAAATATACAGGATGTTGTTAGTAAAGCCCAAATAATAAAAGATTGTCAAATTTTCACTGACAACGATGTTTACACTTCGGATATCAAAACAAAAGTTATGCACAATAATTAACTGACCGTTGACTGACATATTGGATTGAGGTTATGTTTTTTACTCTGAGACTTGACAGGACTCTGCTCATGACCTGATCACTCCATAGAGCGTTATCTCGAACTTGCCCTTTAGAAAATACAGTTATCAAACTGCAAAAAACTGATTCGTTCAATTCTATTACAACTAAACGACTGTACGTTTAGCGTATAGTGCCCTTCGAGCAAATATATTCGGAGCGAGTATAGCGTAAATATTTTATGCCTAGTATAATAAATAGTATATGAAAATAATATAGTTTCATGGTGATTTTGATTACAAGTCCAGAATATTTATTTCGGATTAATTTGGCCTTTAATTCTACTTTTAAATATTTACGCATGCAGGATATTCTCAAAGCTGTGGATAAGTTTCAAAATGGGTACTTGTAGTACTTGAATTGATTTTGTAGACATCAACATAGTAATGAATGAGCTAGCTATTAACCTTATCATTCTAGCGAACGTTTATTTATTTTATTCTATTTATAGATACCTAGAATATAGAATAAAAAGTTCGCGGTTAAATTATAGACAAAAAATTAAACGAATAAACAAAAAAGAAAAACAGATCGATAGTTACTATCCTAGAGAGACCGTTGCACACCGATAAATTCCAATTTTGCTCTCGTTCTTTCGAATTTATTAGCCAGAACGACATTCCTGCTAAAAGTTTGAACAAAAAGAAAAAACGAGCTCAACCGGAATGAATTGTTTTTCACCAAAAATATGGCGGAAGTTAGAGTTGTGTGTATATATATCCTTGCAACCAGAAAGCGGAAGCGTTGAGGAACCTAATATAAAGTAAAATTATGCTCTTTGTTGTTTGACTTTCTCCAAAAAGGGAAAATATAATTAGTGGTGATGTTGTATGGTTTGGTTGGTATTATTTCGTAGACATATTTACAGACAGAATATAGAAATTTATATCGTCTTGGAAGAAGCATATATAGTTAAACATAACATGATTTAGATATTGGAAAAGTGTAGTACTTAAAATAATATTTACGATATATATTATTGTAAAAAAGACAATATGAACACCGTTTTTTAATACAATGGTTGAATATAATGGACTGAAAATAAATTCATCTAAGTCACTATTTTTAGTCTACCATTCTTCATTTTTAACTCTCGTTTTAACGTAACTTTAAATGAGCGTTAAGCGATGTTCAACTAGGATAAGGACTTTTTGTGTCGTTTGGTAACCGCGGATGAAACATACACCTATCACAAAATACTATTAAAGAAGAGATTTCAAAAAAACATAAATGAAAAAACAGAAACTAAAGAAAGCAAACTAAATAAAAAAATCAAATAACAGAATCTAAAGAATAGAAACCGAAGAAGAAAAACCGAAGAACAGAAACCTAAGAACAGAAACCAAAGAACAGAAACCAAAGAACAGAAACCAAAGAACAGAAACCAAAGAGCAGAAACCAAATAACAGAAACCAATGAACAAAAATTAAAGAATAAAAACCAAAGTAAAGAAATCACAGTGCAGAAACCAAAGAGCATAAATGAAAGGACAGAAACCAAATAACAAAAATTAAAAAATGGTAACCAAATAACAGAAACCTAAGAATAGACACCAAAGTACAGACACCAAAGAATAGAAATCAAAGAACAGAAAATAAAGAACAGTCGAAACAGCTGATGTTTCAAGTTTTGTTTGTTTTTAATTATTTGAATTCATTAAAAATTATCCGGTCTTAACATTTCTATTATAGGCCAAGGACCACAGCTAGTAATTAGTTCATTTGTCAACAATTCCAATCCAAGTTGCAATTATACATATATGCAAAACGAAACATACCAAGTTTCCCACTTAATATTTTCTGCAAGTAACACACCTGTGTTTGTAAGCCTGCATTTGGAGTATAAAATTTAAGTTGTTGAATAATTCAACGAAGTTCCCTGTAGAACACTCGATCGCCTTCTCGTGTATGAAACGGCATTGGCTCACACCCTGAAGATTTCTTTCAAGTACCACCTAACCCACAAAAGTCGTAAAAATGATAATGTCATGTAGTCGGTAGTCGCAAGTGATAACGTTTTAAATCTGATATTTTTATAAAATGAGCGTTTTAATATGACATATATTTAGTTTAAACTTAAACTAGACTTTTTATGGTAAGAAGACTTAGTCGTTTTTAATCTAGTAGATTTTTCGTAGACTCGACCGATGGTTCCATAATAATTTCTGCGCCCTATTCAAACTTGAATAGTTATTCCACCATTCCTGAGACACAATTTGCATCCATTGTTTGATGGAAGCCTTGTACAATGCTTTAGCTACTTCAAAGAAGGGTTAAGGATCAGTGATGACCTTATCTAAGCCTTAGCCAGCTAATTTGCGGGCTTTTTCATCTTTATGTCTTTCAAGGACTGTTATCACTTTGTTTTGACTGCTATGTTCTGTCAGGTCTTCTAGGCAGTCTAGCCAGTCGTATTTTAATTTTTACTGAGAAAGTTGCTTTTAGAGTTGCCTGATACTTGCTGATATACTATTTCTCTTGCATAGTGTTATATGTGTATATTAGTAGGCCTGGAACACTGTTACAAATATTTTCCTAGAACCAGTGAAATCGTTGGTTTCGACTTGGGTTCAAAGATTGCAACACCGGCTTTTTTATTTATTTTTAAACCATCTGAATACCAGACTAGTCCAGCCTATATTTTTAACCCGACCTTTATTTATTGCAAACTTTAAATTGGGAATTATAAAAAATAAATAAACATATACAAGTTTATAATTATTTTGGAAAATTGTGGTACCGCATAGCTAGACGAATTGAAATATCGAATTAACATGACCCCCAAAAGATTCAACAGGTTAAATATGTATAACTCACACTCACAAACAATGAAATTACTATTCTAGAATAAAAACCATATTAATAAATGCAATTGAGATAAAGCCCTCATTCATAAAATACAAATCGACGAAACAAGGAGGATAGAGATGATTATTACGATATTTAGGATGATTCAACGCTTTTTCAAAAAATTAAATTGATTAGGGTCACGAAGAGTATTCACAGAAATTGAGATAACAAGAATGTTCCTTTATAGCTCCGTAATTAATTTGAGCTAGTTACTGAAATGATGCCGTTTCTTTAATTGCAGGAAATTTTATTGAAACGCTGATGGAGTTGGTATTTATCTCTTTTTAGCACCGGGAGCTCGTAATTAAAGTAGAATGAATGTAAGTAATGAAATAATAATTTTTATTAATTTATACGTTTATGAATTGAGAGAATTTAACGTCTCAATACTTCTCTCATCGTCTGCTACGAGCTGGCCCTAGGTCCAGATAAGGTGGAACCACCAATTTAGCGTCCCTCAAATTAGTTTATTTTTAATATTATTATATAAAATTATTTGTTTATCTTTTAAGGTGAAGGGGGGAGAAAAAGTCCTTTATATCTCACAAGGAAAGTCAATGTTTAATTATTCAACAAAACATTGAGTGCGACCGGTTTCGAAGTATCATCACTTCATCTTCAGGCTCGCCTAGTGGAAAGGAGAATATGTGGTGTAAGGTGTGTTGACTTTGAGCCCACAATATATAAAATAGTAAAAAATAGAAAAACTCACCATACTCTCCATCCACTAGGGAATACTACAGACAAGTTTCATCAAAACGTGGGGAATGAAATAAATTGTAAAACAAAACAATGTTACAAGTTATAAAAAGTTAAAAATATTTGAAAAACAAATATTAGTCGATATATTTGTTTATCATCAATATAACTTTCGCTGTTATAAGAAAAACTATTATTACTAAGTTTTTATTAGAACAGCATCGAAAAGTTCATCAATTTTGTGATCGACACACCACATTTCTTTTCAGATTTGACGATACGCTGAATGAACTTGTACCATTGTTCTGCACTGATGTGCTTTATTGTCTCTAAGAGTAACTTCTTTTCAAATTAAAACTTGTATGAAGTGTTTTCAAGTGGAACAAATCCTTTTATTTGAGTCCAAATCGATTAAATCGGAATTAATTCGCAATTGTATGAGAAACTAGAAAAACATTCAAAATTTAGATCTCCAATATATAAACACCTTTATTATGAAGTCTAGATAACAAATGAATAAATACAGGGTGGAGACCTTAACTGCAATGAAGGGTCACAAGCCACAGGGTTTTATTTGAAAAAAAAAAACATGTTCAGGGTGATTCAGCTACCCAGGAAGGGTTATATTTCTCAAATTGCTTGCAAAATGTAGGTAAATATATTAAAACGTTGACGTGTCTCGGGAAATTTTTTGAAAAGTTAAAATCTCCACTCTGTATTCTAATATTTCAGGTAAACGAAATAAGAGAATAGACCACCTAATTGCACTCGTTCTCTTTTGTTGTTATAGGGTTTCATACACGCCATATATACATAAAAGCAAGTAGCTGTAGAACCCATAAAATCATAATTATTAAACACATCGTTAAAAATAATTTTATTATGTAATTAAAACAATTTATAAAATATATTTAATGAAAAAAGTATAATTAAGTATACTTACAAGTATTATATTAATTAATATCAAAATAAACAGAATACTAATAGCTATTTTGAAGTAAAAAACATTGTATGACATAATTATACCAATTAAAAAAACTAAATTAGTTAAAAAAACTTTTATAAATAACAGAGCCAGTAATACTTATTTACGAATCAGTATGGGTACTTTGTTTAAATTTCGAGACAGTGAGATGGATTTTGAAATTAGAGATAAGGTTGCTTTGGTAACGGGAGGCGCTAGCGGCATTGGTTTAGCCATTGTGAAGGCCCTACTTAAGAATGGAGTTAGGGTGAGCATTATTCTTTATTTTTTGTATTTGTGATATATTGTCAAATTAAATCAGTAATAATATTTATTAATGATGATGGTTAGGTTAGAAAATTTTATTTACATGTTTAAAATAAATTATTTATTTATATATATAAATATATATATTTAATTTTAACTTATGATAGTCCCAATCTTTGGAAAATATATAATGTCCATGTAACTTTGATTCGTGATATTTAAAATAAAAAAATCGATAATAATCATACATCTTATTATAAAGAATAATCCACAAAAAAATATTTCAAAAGTAACACTTAAAAAAGAAGAATTTTATGCTCAGACGTACGTGAATTTTTCCAAGGTCTACCATAGAAATATTTTTTATGGATCACTCCATATTACCCTTGAATATAACCTTTCAGGGAGTTCTGGCTGCTGACATCAATGAAAAATCTGGAAAAGAGGCTATACGTGAATTGATATCTAATTATGGTGCAGACAGAGTTACGTTTTTGAAAACTGATGTTACAGATATGAACAGCTTTGAAAGTAAGTAGGTATTACAATAAAATGAATACCATAAATATTTAGTGAAAAATAAAGATGTGGGATAGTGAAAATTTAGTGAGAGGTAACCACAAGATTCAGTATTTCTTGCAAAAAATATCAGAAGTCTTCAAAGCTTGTTGGAGAGAAAAAAATCATTTTATACTTACTGTTGTTTTGTAGATGCTTTTAAGGAAGCAATCAGACGTTTTGGACACATTGATATGTTATTCAATAATGCAGGAATTTTTGATGAAAATAAATGGGAAAAGGTTATTGATGTCAACCTAGTAAGTATTTTTATTTCTTAAGTTATAAGTGAAATTATTTTATCAGAGATAATGAAAATATTTATTTAATATTGCTGAATACATTTTTTTCATGACGTTACTTGTGATAGATGACAAATATGGGGAAAATAGCATTAGCTCGAGTACCAACTTAATTTTTAGAAGAATGACTAGTACTAAGCTTAATTTTTGTTATACACGTGCAGGGCCGGATTTAGATTATATTTTAGCGACTTCTATACATATTTAAAAATGATTAATCCTGTATATTACTAATATCTTCAATGTTGAGGGTAATGAATATTACTCTTTAAAAAAACGATGAGTATTGACCTTCATTTGCAGTTAAAATTTGTTAACCATATTGGCACATTCTCCCCATTAACAAATATATAATAGTTTTAATTTTCTTCTATTTTTGCAGAAAGGGGTTATGAATGGTATGGTTTTAGCTGTGGAAAAATATTTAAAAAACCACAAGAAAGGAGACGAAGCACTTATAATAAATACCAGCTCTATAGGCATTTTTGAATTGATTCAACCATTTCCTATCTACACTACAACAAAATGTGGCGTTTACGTTTTAACAAAATTTTACGGAAACAAATATTATTTGAATTCTTCAAAAGTTAAAACAATAGCAATTTGCCCGGGAAAAACAGAAACGCCGATGCTGGAAGTAACTAGTAATTCAGTCAAACCCGAATTCAGACATTTACTTGACGAAATAGTAGACAGCTTCAAGGGTCAAAGGTAAAAATAACAGTTTTGATATTTATAATATGTCGCATATAACTTCAGACAAAATATCGAAAAGACAAAATATCGACAAGACAAAATACTGTCATCACAAAATATTGAAAACAAAATATCGAAGATAAAATATCGAAGACAAAATATCGAAAAAAGAAAATAACAAAAAGACGAAATATCGACAAGACAAAATTATGAGAACATAAAACATCGATGACAAAATATTAGATAAAAAATATCGAAAATATTAAATATTGAAGACAAAATTTTATAATTTCACATTTTGAGGCATTTGAATTTTTTATTGCTTTTAAGTTTTTCTTTTAATAAAGATTATTTTTAGTGCCGAATTTGTAGCCGATGAAACCATGAAATTGATACCAAAATCTCCAACAGGAAGTGTTTGGGTAATTGAAGAAAATATACCAGCATACGAACACATTTCGTCACCCCAACAAATCTTTGAAAGAAATATAAAAAGTAAATATTAAAAAGAATATTTTCATATAAAAAAGAGTTTTAATAACCACCTTGTATAACTAGAATCCTGCAACTTATTCGATCTGTAGAACTCCCAGAGTTGATTGTTATTTAAAGCCTTGCTAAAACACATTTCTCTAAGTCTGATTGTTCAACTATCCAATATATCAGAAGAGTGTTCAGATTTTTATAAACAACAAACCGGGCATTAAAAGTAGTTCGCAAGGAATTATTTATTGCCTCGTGGTGAGCTCTAGAAAACACTTATTCTATAAAGTAAATTGTAATTAAAAAACGTTGGTTTTTGTCAGTAATAAATCTTAAGCGATAAGGATTATTTGTTTCTTTTTTAACATTTCAGTTCAAAGTTTGCCAGTTGTCTTCATAATTTTAATTGCTGCCACACATTTTAAATAACACTTCGTTTTTATTTACTTTAGAATCTATATTAATCAATGCTTTACCCTGAAGAAGGCCTCGACACTACTCGAAACATTTTGTGTTGCCTTGGTACTTTTTACTATTGAAACAATAAAATATCCAGTGATAATATACATTCAAATCTATGGGTGTCCTACTTAAATGTTAATAAATTTCTAATAAAAAATCTAAATTAACGAGGATATTACCAAACATAATAATTTCCCATCACAAACTAAAATAGTTCTGACGTTAGAATGCATCGAGGATTAAAAAACTTTTAACATTATCTAATCTGTCACGAAAAGGCAATTCGAAAGCTTGTAAAAGACATATATTTCTGTTTCACATTTCATAAAATTTAAACAATCGCATTTTCTGATAGATCTTCGGTAATATATTCAAAAATTCGGTCCCGAGCTACCGGTATTGCCATCGTAAATCATGTAAACGATCAAAGTCGTGAATCATTTTCTTAATCGGTCGTGGCTGAAGAAACTACACATATACATTTAGTAGTGACACAGAACTGTCATTAGTAGTGGATTAAAATTATTGCAATATCGATATCGGATATTTCCTTGAGAAATTCGAATGATGATGCCAAAATGGCCCGATATCACGAAACGATGCATCAATGAAAAATTATGGAACCAATTACAAAAAATTTCAAATAAAGGAGGGTGATAATATTAATAAAAACCCTGGTGTGGTGCAAAATCACATAAATGTTTTACATAACGATAGGAGAGAAGATATTTACAAGAATAAGCTTTTGAGCCAGCTAAATTACAAAATACCTATTGAATAATTTATGCTTATCTAAAATGGTTATTAAAAGACATATAAAGTAGTTGTTTTAAAACTATTTGAAACATATCGAAGACGGTCCTGTGCTCGCGAATCCCAGATGTTCATTAGCAACTGTAAATAAATGTATACTTGACAATAACCGCATCCGCCGAATTTCAAGGCTTCAGTCTCGTAGTAATATGTATCTCTTTCTTTTGAACAACACAAAAACCAGACGAATCTGTGCTTCGTTAGAAGTCAGACGTGTTTTCATAAAAATCACGACAGATCTGTTATATAAATCACCTAAGTTCTCTGAGCAAAGATATTAATAAATAAAATAAAATGTGAAACTAATGCAGCGTTTTTGCACAATAAATTGTTTTATACAAAGTGTTTGAATTTCATTATCCATATGGAGATGGTTGCAGCTAGCATCGAAAGGAGACAGTCCTTTTAATAACTTACAAATCCAACAGTAGTGACAGCAAAACATATTTGATAAGTTAGCAAATTTATTTTTTTTTTATTTAATACTTCACATGTGGTCTGAAATGAAAATGATTCAAAGATATATAAGACACTGTTATATAATGCTCAAGAATAGGTGAGCCAGCAGGCATCATCGGCAAATAAAACCAACAACATGTATTGAAGAGAAGTTTGCATACTAGTAACCAAGCATTACAATGGAACATTGGTTTGAAGTAAAAGACTAATGGAACAATTAGAAATATATTTTATGATATGACAGTAAAAGGACAGCAAATCAAAACACAAAATGTTGAATTGAAGAACAGACATAAATAGAACGTTTCTGATCCAAGGAAAATAGAAAAATGCTTTCACAAGCATTACTCTTTTAATTTGGTAGCTTTCTAATCGATAACCTTAATATCAAATCCAATTTAGAAACAAACTCCTGAAATTTTCAACGTTATTAAAATTGATTACACGTATAGAGACATGTTAACATAATTTACTAGTATATATCAGTGCCATTTTCTCGTTCTAACTTGGAAAACG